TGAAGACTGAAAAACAACAAGGAATCCACTTTCCTCGGTTTCACTGTCTAGAGAAACAAAAAGAAACAAGAAAATCATCAATATCAGAAAAGCAAAATATCCGACTTCAATGTTTCTATATCGACTCTCACGAAAATAACAAGAACAGAAGAAAGCAATATCAGGTCCAAAACTTTAAAAAACCAAAAACAAAAACAATAATTGAGTAAACAGAAAGTAATTTCATCACCCAGCAAGCAAGGTACAGTGAAATCAAGTTTACCTGCATAGCCGTTTTTAGCGCAATCGGACTGGTCATTACCCTTTTGCTGTCTTTCTCTAGCTTATAAAGTTTTTAAAAATGGAGAGAGAGAGAGAGAGACGAAAGGAGAAAAAAATTACTCTAAAATGCGTACACGGAGAACTGTTTCTCCACCTTTCTTAACATCCGACAAATACACAAGTACAGTAGCCATTCAGTTATCACCGAATTGTTGATAAGCCTCGTCACCAAAATAATAAAAATGCGGCTCATATTTCTGGCCATGCTCATAGCGCAACATTTGAATAGCTTCCCCATTCACTATAAATCAATTCATATACACAGTACTAGTATTGGAATAGAATGAAGCTTCAAAAGTTCAACAAAGATATCCTGGAATACCTTCAGGAAAAAAGGTCAAAGCAGCAATTCTAGCCTCAATGCCAGCAACTATTTCATCCTTCAGTCAAGAAACAGAGAGAAGTTCTTAAGATTTAATAACACTAACAACATTCCTTAATATTTTAACTCAAAATTCAAGTAATAAGCTTATAAAAAAGAAGATTCAATGGTAATAATCAGTATAGTAACTCCATATAAAGAACACTCAAATTGTTATGTTTAACCTGAGCCTTGTCAAGAAACATGCCAGAACTCGTCCGTTCGTCACCTTGTATGCTTTGCCCAGAATCGTCGTCAGTTACCATAGACTTCTCCAGTTTATCTTTAGCCTACTCATCCATATATACAGACACTGATTAGATAAGATCACATCTTTCTGTTCAAAATTATGAACCAAATTAACAATTAACTAGCAAAAGAAACTAAAAATTCCCAGACCATTCAAAATCATTTCAAATTATGTTCGAATTTGCTATTGATTCTTGTAAATAATATTACATGGACAATGAGGGAAATCCAGGTAGATTACAGAAGGTAGAAAATTGAAAAAGCTAAACAAAGAGATGAGATGATCGCACTCCTTGCCTGTCAAAAATCCCTTGTATCTAAAAGCCCTGTAGGACAGAAATCACAGACAAAAATCTCATTGTTAGTAAGACCGTCCACGCCGCGGAGCCCACCAACCCAACAAAGAAAAGGAACAAAAAGAACCTGGGACGCCGGAAATTCGGGTGACCGTAGTAGGATCAATTGAAACTGAAGTTGCACCAGTTGTCAATTCCCACCCTTTTCTGATACAACCCATAAGAACAAAACGGAACTCAGCTGCGGATGCAAAGATTTTGAGTTAGTTGCTCACAATTAAACTTGCAAAAAATACAAATTTAAGTTTATACAATTATCATTATGTTTGTCGTTCTTTTTATCTCCAACATCCTTTTCATCACTTTTCTCTTGTATATTCCTTTCCTTAACATTGTCATCATCATATAAAAAAAAAAAAAAAACCGCACATTTATGTTTAATTTGTTTTTCCTCACAATTAATTTAAGTGAAAAATACAAAAATTATAGCAATTCTGAATGTTAAATTATCAAATGCATTCTAGTTCAAACAAAGACAAAAAAATCATAGCAAGAGTCCATTACCATAAAATGACCCAGATAAGATAGAAATTGGAGCACTTAAATGGATCCCTAATTCCA